CCATGTTTTCAAGTTTGACGAGGCCGAAATCCTCACAAGAGGTGCCAACCGCGTGGGCCGCGAGCTGCTGGACTCATGATTCTCAGGCCCCCAAGGATTTGGCGTTCCCGTATGGCGTAATGAGAAGTTTCCTGAGCAAGAGAATCAGTCACGTGGGAAGGGCCTGGCGCAGTAACAACTCTGACGACTGCGGGCATAATTGTCACACAATTATCAGGCCCGCATCCGACGTTGACAAGGCAATTGTGGAAATGAGTGAGTCAAACGCGAAAGGTCATGCCAGTACCGCACAGGTAAGACCCAAGCGGTGGCTACCAAAGTGAACGATTATCGCACTCACGCAGATGACCACTATGAACTACAAATACCGTGCAACCTGTGCATGTTTCAACCCTATCTGCGCATGACTATGACTATGTTACCATCACCTATGATTAAGGATTCCCGAGGGAATCCAAAACGTCAGGCAAATAAAACTCTTGTTCCAGCGATCGCATCCTCTTCTTCTTAACTGCTTCCTGGAATTTGCATATTCTCTCTTATTAGTTTACTTTTGTATCCTTAATTTTCGATGCACTTACTTATTGAAGTGTGAAGGAGAAAGGACGCTCACGGGGAAAGGTTCATTTTGTATCTGACTTTTCGGGTAATTGTCTCGTTCACCCATCTTCAGAGAGTGAATACTCTGGCTTGTAGTTCTCTTTATATGCCACTCTTTTCTTCCGCGTGCGTAGTCTACCAGTGCCAACCGAGCCGCTCTATGTGCCTCGCTTTTTACGTCCTCATTGACCGTGTCTGTAAAAGAGGCGCCGGTATTTATTGTGTTCCCCAGTCCGTTTGTCATCTGTATGGGGGCAGCCGCCGTATCGCCATGACCCGAAACCTCAGATACAAAATAAACCTTTCCCGGTGAACGCCCTTTCGCCTTCCTACTTACCACCTGGGAATCGAATTTTCACTACCAAACTGAAGTATGTTTTATTGGGAAATAAGCTTCCATCCCCCTCTTTTGGTGGCAATCTGCGTCTTCTTTATTTTGCTTCCTAACTGCCGCTACATCGGCATTCAGGTTTTCCAAGCTACAGGCTGTATACCTTCCGTCTAAGTAAAGAAATACACCTCTCTATAATCTGTGGATAAAGTCGCAATGCCTATAAACGTTTAGAGTGGATATGGATCCTGTTTTGTAATTGATAAGAAACATTACTAAGTTAATGGATACGATATGGTGTGAATGAGCATTTGACAGTTTGATAAATCACACAACTCGAAACTTTTCAATCAAAAAGAGGCTTTCTTCAAAGAGTTGGCTTAAAGCCGCCGTAATTTGCTATGAAATAGGCACATAAAATAATATTTTGTGCATGTTTACTATAAGAGCCTCTAAATCAATGAGGAAAATGCATAAACTTGAAAAATGTTTTTTTGCAGCATATGCTTTTTGAAGGCGGTCAGAGGGAAGTTTATTTGAAAGCCGGCCTCCTGACGCAATTGACATATCTTAGAGTTTGTAGAGTAACCAATATTAAGTATTTCTTTCGAAAAAAGTAATTTTCAGAATTTCGGTGACATTTCGTGAGTCAGCAAACCTACTGTATCCATGGAGATATCCGTAGTTACCTGACTATTAGACAAGTCGTATATCCCATAGAATGGATCAAAAGTGAACATTCATCGCAAATCCTAGAAGACTTTTCATGCAGAATGTAGGCATGGTGCAAACTAGGAGGGATTTTTCGGGAAACAGGAACAAACTTTATTGTGAATTTTCGACACTGACACAACAGGTCGTCTCGGGATGCCTATTTTCAAATTCATACGAAGGGTGCAAACTTTTCAAAACCTCTAAAAGCATTAACAAATGGCGACTTCTTGGTTTTGTTTCCTACTTTCTGTATTTAGGGGAAAGAAAACTTTCTTTTCTAGGGTGCAGTAGATATCAGCGCGAATACATTCCACTGAAGAGAAGCTGTTACAACATACAGAATTCGCGTAAAAATGATCAAGCTTACCCACTGATTGACGAAGGGCATGATAATGCCTAATGTGAAGATAGTCAGGATAGGTCCGCCAATGGCACCGAAGATACTGAAGGATATCTGAAGAACTCCAGATGACACAATGGACAGCAGAAATGCTACCCCGATGGTTATGACACCAATCAGGACAGCTGTAAATACGGAGGAGAATATGGTAACTATTTCCAACTAAACTGTCAGAGAATCTTGCTTAGGTAGCTTTAATTTACTGTAGGAAAAGCAGTTGCAGGCATTGGAAGTCCTCGATTGCAATATGAATACCATAAATACTTGGAGGAATATGAAAGCCAAGCAGAGTCAGGAAAAGAAATGTAGAACTTTACAGGATATGCCGTTTTACGCTTAGAATGTGTTTTTCGAGGTTGTGTTTTAAAGGTTTTCCGGTCAGCGATCAGATAAAAAACCCTGCGGCGTAGAACATGAAACTCAACGTTTTTGTACACAACTTCCAAAAAAGTGAACGATGGCCTTGCCAAGGCGCCTGAAAAACAGTTAGCTGACTGAAGACTTTACTCCCTCTAAGAAGCACTAAGCTTTAATATCTGATGAATTAAAAGAATGTTTTCTTCGGACTAAAATGTTTTTTGATAATAGATTGTAATTAGGCCGAAGCTTTATATCGAATTAACCCGCGAGGCTTGATAACTAGGAATTTCGATAACTCTTTTATGTTTAGAAAAGAAAGCATTATTTTATAAGCAGCCCTTAAAGAGGGCAATTTAAAAAATGCCTGATCGGTCTTCGCGTAATTGCTTCGACACAATAAAGTCCTTAAAAGCAATTTAGTTGGAAAGTTGCTATTTGATGAGTATAATTCCACTTCGGTTGAGCTCCCCATCCAGCCCACCGCGACGTGCAGAACCCGTCAATTCGGAAACTGTAACCTGACTGGCCAAGCACGATTTCCTACACAACCAATCTAGAATCCATCCGGTGAAGAAAAACTGCATTTATTTAGTAGTTTACACTGTTAGCTAGTCAGTATTATTATAGTTAGTTGATAGTGCTGATTAATTTATTGACTTCCAAGCGATAAGAGGTAACAATTGAGTGGCTGATTGACAGTTGTGAAACGCCCCATCTGGCAGACAAGATTGCAACAGAAAATTATGGCCTAGTTGCATGAAGCAAAACTTTACATTCAGATAAAACATGCATTATCACGTTCACTTGTTAAGTAGCCGAACAGTGTGACGTTCTGATGGTAGAGAAAGTCTAATTAGAACCCCTACTATTTAGCTACCTTGCCAGATCGCCAATGGCCTTCTCAAATGTTGATCAAAATTTTATTTTCGTCTCCTGTCTAGCAATGCATGAGCAAAGTCCAAATTTGAAGAATTATAATAACCTTTTTTGTGTCGCGCCAGCATTCGACTGGAAAGTTTTGCAACGTAGTGAGTATGCCCTCTCTTAGTTACTTGGCTCGCGGTCTAGAGCATCAGCATATCTAAAAACCTGGCCTATGATACGGCTGGCTGATGACAGCTTACAAGCAAAAACTGGCCATTTCAGTCTCCCTTGTCTAGGTCGGTAATGCTATTGCATTAGTAAGCGACAAACACCTCTTTTCATGATAAACAGCTGGCGCGCTAACACATATATTGTTCGCCAAAAGTACGAAATGGGTTTACGGTTTGAACGTTGTACTTAGATAGGATTGTAGTATGAAGTATCGTGTAGCATACCACCAAAATATTTCAATCACGTCAAGATGCATGCTTCTTTCAGCGGCCTACAAAAAAGTTAATTCCTTGATGGATTAGGTTTTTTTAATAGAAGCGAAGAGGTGAGTTGCAGGGCACAGTTACGAAGTAAGAGACGCGATTGCTGAAACAAGAGGGCCTGCCCCAAAGATCAAGTCTCCATCTTCGCAAAGACGACTTAAGCACTGTGTACTATTCTCGGTGATATTCGACGTCTTAAAAACGAAAACATATTATATAGGAATCATACAAAAAATACTCTTGATTGTACTAAGAGAATTACGTCGTTTTTGAATTCCGTCTTTAATGAAGTATTATTGTATTTAATTATAAAAAGTTTCTAATAATGATATTTTTATCAAGATTTTGAAATGTCCTTTCATAAAATATCGTATCTTTCAATACATTAATGCTGTTTATAATGTATACAACAAAGCCTATACCTAATATGAATGTTATTAGGGCCCTTATGACATATAAACGCTGAATGCACGTGTAATACCGGTTCACATTAAATATTATTCAGGACTGAGAAGACTTTTTCAAAACAACCAAAAGATTCCCTTTTTTCGGGTACATAACTTTCAAAAGACATAATTTTATATGAAATGATTACTGAAAAACATATTTTGGTGCAGGTTTGTATTTAATATACCTACTGTTCTGAGAGCACCGAAATTAAATAGATACTGCATAAGAAGTACTTTTAAAGAATAGGGTTATTTCAGGCAGTCTCTAAGAACCTCAACCAAAAACCAGCATCCTGATGTGTGAAATATTTTGGGAAAATGCAGCTCATATGACAGTCTTAATTCAGTAATCCCTTTAAATCGAACATTCATTTCAGAATTTTGATTAACATTTTAGGAGAAGGCACATTTGCTGTACCTCATAAATATGTTCGCCTTCAACCCATGCAACCTGGAGTTTAATATTATCACTTAGACCGATATAGTTAGGACAGATTGCATTAAGATAATCTACTAGAGCCTAAATAATTCTCAGTGCGACCGCTCCTTTCTACTGGGTGCCTTCTTCCGTATCCTACATTGACTGAAATTATAATACTACAGTTTTACACGT